CATATAAGCAGTAAACGTGTAGCCCAATGCTTAATGTGTTAAAACTCAAAGATGTCACTTTGAAGACTAACGGGTGCCTGACCCAAAGCCAAGGTAGTTTTTCAATTATTTTATTGGGGGCTCGTACTATTCCTATCACAATCCATTCATACATCCATTGTGTCAAGCACATTTGTTGCCCTCATCATTCTCAAAACATTTGCTTTGTACTTGAGCCCTTAATATCAGCTGCTCATTTTCCCCCACCCTCCTCCCTCCCCCTCCCTCATGAACCCTTCATAATTCATAAATTATTATTTTGTCATATCTTGCCCTGTCCAACGTCTCTCCCCACCCTCTTCTCTGCTGTCCATCCCCCAGGGAGGAGGCTATACATAGATTCTTGTAATCGGTTCCCCCTTTCTACCCCACATTCCCTCCACCCTCCAGGGATCGCCCCTCTCACCACTGGTCCTGAAGGAGTCATCTGTCCTGGATTCCCTGTGCTTCCAGTTGCCCAAGCCAAGGTATTTTCAACCATCTCACATTTGAGCTGCATGGACTTGATGGCAGCGAGTTTGGAGTACCCCCTGCGGGTTTCTGAGACTGCCAAGGAGTAGAAAGCCCAGCCTTTCTCCTGCCCTGTGGCTAGTGGTTTCCAACTACCGACCATGCTGATTGCAGCCCAGCTTGTCACCATGACACCACTTTGTGCTGAATATGAACGTTCGCTCCTTTTCCTGACTTCCCTGTCGATATGTCAAGGCTCAGTTTGGAAAGGACCTCTTTATAACCTAGGAGCTGCCTAGACTCTAGAAAACTCAGAGCCATTAAAGAAGAAGACAATTGGAAACGTTTTCTTTTCTTTAACATTGTAATTTTGGTCTTGTTCTTACAAGGACAGTGATCTGAGCACTGCCCAGAGTGGGTAGTGATTTTGTGGACATCTTCATTTTTTCTTAGACAGGAGAAAAAGAAAAGATAATGTGATGCCAGTGATAACTGGAGCTTACAGGACATTTAGTTAAATACGGTGAGTAATAAAAGTGTAAGTCCTAGGTAAAGCATGCGTTATAATCACAGCTTAAGTTGCAAAGCATGATGACAGAAATCCATCACCAATTTTCCCCCCAAAACTTAATGACTTATAAAGTTGCAAGATCAGAGGTAGGGAGAGCCCAGGGGCAATGAGCCAGGAGTTTGCATAGATCATGAGAGCTGCACAGGTAGGTTAGAAGATTGGGCATTTGAGTTTTATCTAAATCTCCAGGATCTGAGTTATTTGTATTTGTGGGTGATAGACTAGGTGTGTGGGTGGGCACCTGCGCATATCTATTTATATGTCTATAAAATGGACTTTAACTGGACAGAAAAATCAATTGGGTTTACAAAGAGATTGACAACACTGTTTATTCAGATGAATCACAGTTCCAACTCCAAACCAGAGAACTCATTGAGAGGAATGGAGTAAATCCACAATGTATCCTAAGCTCTCAGCTGATGGATGCATATCAGTCTACAGAGCTGCTTTTAAATGATTTTTTTTAAACTTGAATGCCCAAGTTAAGTAGGAAAACAGTAACTAGAATAAAGGTTAAGAAAATGAAAGCTTTTTCATTTTTAAATTTTAAAGTTTAAAATGAAAGCTACAACAGAAAGGCATGCCAAAATATAGAAAAATTTTCAAGTTTGTTGGAAATTTAAAGTAGTATCTCAATTCAATTTACTAATTGTATTTAGAGCATTTAGGAGCTGCAAGCATCCAAGGAACACGCAGACATTAGAATTAGTGAGAGCCGCCTCCTTTCAGCAGGTTCCAGTTCACCACAAACCACAGGAACAAGCTGCTGACGTGTGCGTGTTAGAAATTGGGGAGAGTTGAAGTAGACGGGCTATTTTCAAGATTCAGTTTTGGAATGGTTTGTGTCAATTAGGTTGTAAAATAGAGCTAGCCCTTTAAAGATGAGAGACGCTTGTCAGAAGGGGAACTCTTGAGAACTCAAGAGGAAGATGGGAGACAGATTCCAGGTGGTAGAACCACCACATGCGAAATTATAGCTGGTAAGGTGTAAAAAAGTTTGTCGAGCTCAGGAAGTTGTTAACGAGGTGATGAAATCTATGAAAGTTCAGGAAAAATATGTAACTCTGTTAACATGTTTTTTTCTGAGTTCTGCAATCTGCAGATTACCTAAATTTCCAGATTATTCTTCCAACATGGCAATTTTTCAGAAATCTCTGCTGATTAAGGAACTTTGAATAATTACCTAGTACAGGTCATCTTAAGCCATAGTAGAAGCCCCAAAGTCTATGCTGTAAAGGTGTCACAATAGACAGGTATGCAGATCAGAAAAACCCTTATGACCCCAAGCTGGGGTTACCGATGGCCCTTTATTAGTTACTGTGAGAACGAGGTAAAAGTTAGAAAGGTTACAAAGTAAAAATCATTTAGAATAAAATTATTTCATCAAACCTCTTAGAAAACTGTCAAGACTTCTGTCATTAAAGACTTGATTTTGGTTGGTGTTTCCTAGGATTTTTTTTTAGGTGCAAATATGCACATAAAACCTCCACCTCCCTTCAAGGAAAAGAGTAACATGAAAATTTATACAGATTTTCAGTCAGATAAAGTTCGTCTGCATCCTAAATATTCTTTACCTAGGACAAAAGTTAAACATTTCACACTCCCACCCCTCACCCCCCACCCAGGAAAAAAAAAGCCTCTATAATCTAGTTTCTTTTTAATTATTTGACATGGATTCTTGTAATTCTTTCAGATTTTTATATATTTAAATCAGTTCTCACATTATCAATGAAAACTTATGTGACTTACTTTAAATGGATGTTAATTATCTTCCCATTCCCGCCTCCCCGCTCTATTTTTCAGTGCCAGTAATTTGGGATCTATTTCATCACTATCCTTTTGAGTTTCTTTTACTGAAGAAATGGTCATTTGAGGAAAAGAGGAGCCACATTTCTCTCTCTCTCTCTCTCTCTCTCTTTCACACACACACACACACACACACACACACACACACACACACTGTTTTAGGCATTCTGTTTTCAGTACAAAAGCAGAGAAAGTAATTAATTTAAAAATCATCCAACTCTATGAGATTTTTTAATGTCTCCATTTAGATAAAGGGTTCTTTCACAAGATACTAAGTGGGATGAAGACAACGCTATCCTCAGAAATCTATCAGGATCGGAAGTAGCCTTTTTAAAATGGCCTTTGTGCCCCCTAATGGTAGAAAACCAGACAGCACAACATTTTACCTTTATACATTTTACACTTCTTTCCCATCTAGTCATCTTCTATATGACATTAGAAACACTGGAGGTAGAGTGTTTTATGCGTTCTTTGGGCTATTTTCTAGAAGGTTGACAGTTCAAACCCCCCAACTGCTCCGATGGAGAAAGATGAATCTTCCTGCTGCCATTACAGCCTCTAAAACCCAAAGGGGCATTTCTACATTTTCCCATAGGATCCTATGAGTCAGCATTGATTTGATGGCAGTGATTAGGTTCTTGATTTTATACGACCTTTGTCCTAGGTGAATAGTGTTGAAAATTGTGTTTTGTAAAAGTCCACAAAGAAATTGAAAACAGTACAGCCATATTCTTAGACTCTGCTATTTCAAATAATTATTGTTTGTAATTAATTTTTTCATTTGCATTGAGGATAGAGATAGAGAGGTTAATTTCATAGGCATGTACTACATAATGTAAATCTACTTTGTAGAGGTAAATCCAATTTTTAAAATCATTACTACATGATTACTTTTTTAAAATAAATTTTAAAAGTCCCAAATAATTTTATTTTCAAAACTTTACTCACACTTCTAATATCATCCTCATGATCATTTCATATATCATGAAATATCTAATACGCTGAGATAGCTTCATTCCAAGAAACCATGTAAGCATTTTTATTCCTAGAAACCAGAAATGGAATGAGGGTTATTGTAACTCATGAAATATATGCAGACAATATCTTATAAAGATGAGGTTGGTGGATGGTGTTATTTAGGACTTTCTTATTTCTGGAAGTGTAGGGTCATTTTGATGACAAGCGGGCTATAGTAGGAGAAGACAATTGTGGGCAGTAGTGAAAGCCACTGAGAGGGGGATTGTGTGAAGGACTGAATAAGGCAATAACAAATAATACAAAAAGGACCGAGAAATGCAGGCAGATGGAGACAGGGAAGAAAGAACTGTAATCATGTGCCCTGCAGCATACATTTCCACCTGTTACAAAGTAAATAATTTAGAGCTGGATTCGATACACATGGAACCTGTTTCTAATCCACCCATGTGTTAGTTACTTAAAGAAATCCTCTATTATGGGGGGGGAAAATCCTATAACACGGAGCAGCTATATTTTTCTTTTTACTGATTTTCTTTTCTTTATATTTTCAGCAGTCTCTACTTTTTTTCTTTTCTTTTTCCCGTGTATTATCTAATATCGGATATTTTAGTATTCAAATCACAAACTATTTGACTAGTAGTTTGGGTTATCAGAAAAGTACCCCAACTTCTGAAAGGACGTTAAAACTTCTACCATCAATCATTTCACACGTTACCCTCCAGATTTTCCTTCAGAATTCCATCCGCAAATCACAGGCTTCTCCAAACCAAAACTTTTTGGAGCGGGGGAATAAGAAGAACCTTGGGAAAGACGAGTACTGACAGTTCTTTTGCAGTATCCTCTATGGAAGTGTTTTTGCAGGACTCCTGTGCGTCAGAAATCTGGGGCGGCAGCAATTAGGGAAAATCGTCATTTTCACTCAAGGTTCAGCTTTGCGGGAGGAAAGGGGGTGGGGAGGAGAGGGAGCGTACATCCTGAAGAGCTAATCCCCACTCATGACATCATTCTCCTGCCTATATATTTCGGGGATGGCCAGAGCATCGCTCATAGTTCAGTCACATTCAAAGTCAGCTGAAGGCAGAGGGAAGTCCTGCAGAGCGCCTCCCCTCAGCGTGCCTCTGACTTTTCCGGACGAGGCTCCCTAGAAGGCTGACAAGACGATGGCAGGAATGAAGGTCCAGCTGGCGTGCGTGCTGCTCTTGGCTTTCAGCCCGTGGAGTCTGTGCTCAGGTAAGCTCAGCTGTGTTTCCCATCTCCCCAAACGGAGTGACTCTCCCCTTCCTGCAGCATGTTGCTACCTGTGCAATGCATCGAGGGAGAAAAGCGCCGGAGTTGCTTTTTAAGAATAGAAACGGATTCTTTTCTTTCTCTGTCCTTATGAATGCAGCAACCGAGAGATTTCTCTTCCTTTTTTTAATCTACAAAGCAATAAAAATAATCTCAATGAAGACTTGCATGCATTGCTTTGGAATTTAATCACTATGGAAGGGGTGAGGGAGATGCAAAACTTAATTGAACTGTCCGTTATCTAAACAGAAATACACGTGCAGTGCCTGTCAAACTAAATACAGTCTCGTATAAAACGATTTCATTCAAAAAACTCTACTCTCATCCTCAGTCATTCCCTCAGGAAACAGTGGCGTCTTCCTTCTCCAGTCATTATCCCCAAATGATTTTTCAACTTTGTATGTTAAGATCTCAAATAAAGTGGAAATTAGATTTAATTAGTAAATATATAAAGCATTATTAATACAAAGTCATCTTGAGAAAAATGTGGAAATGTCTCAAGTCCTTTCTGAGAATATATTTTACACATTTGTAGATAAATGATAAATAAATGTGCTATGAGTGTAATTGTTTCTTGTTTGCATGTCATTTAAATGGCTCACATATGTGAGTGTAAAATTAATATTACTTCAGCAGAATTTATTTGCTTTGAAGTATTTTGCATGTGATAATTAAGAAGTCTGATTCTATTAAGTATCAACAACTCATCATGTAAATAAGATGAAAATTCAGAGCAGCATGGATTATAATTAGGGAAATGTGCATTAATGCTTGAGAAAAATCAAATAATTAAACATTCCAAGATGAAATAATCAACAAACTTACAGAATAAGTGCAGTAAAAATAATTTTGTATTTTTAATTCTTATACCTCATAAATATGATACATTGAAAGATTGAACCCTAACTTATGCTAATATTTTATGTAAATTGTGGAATTAAATCTAGCACAGGATATGTGACTTATGCTAATTTTTCATGAATTTTAATCACTAGAAAAGGACTTTCAAGCTGTATTTTTTTCATTGCTATTCATAAATACAAAATTCTCTCTAGTGATTATTTCGCCAGCTAATCATATGAGAGTAAAGGCCACTTAGAGTAGTACATGAGGAAAAGCTGGTTATTGCCTAAATATCTTCTCTAGGACCTGCTGATACTACTTGCTGTCATAAGTTAAAACATATTCTTTTTAGTGTACCTTGCTGATAAATGCTATGGATTCCTTAGGCATTTAGAAAAACTTATTAGGTTAACATTTGGGGGGAAGATTAGTGGCATAATTTTGTTCTTAGCGACAGTCTGACAAATGATTTCTCCAAGTGGAACAATTATTTTAACAATGTATACTCAAGAAAAATGGAGTTATTTTCACTTCTGCATTTATAGAGATCTGCATGAATTAAGATATTTTAGTGTTTCCTACTTTTTTGGATTAATTTATTTTGTAAACTTTCTTTTTTGGTAAAATATCTGTTAGTGGCAATTGGGGAGATATTCTCAGACATTCAGAGATCAATGATCACCACCACTGTGTCTCGGTTGATGGGAATTCCAGCTCTGATTTAACAGTGCCCTTACCTGCTTGTCATACAATCGTTGTCAAGAGGAAATCAATTCTTATTTAAAATGGAAAAGTAATTTTTTCAAAGGGAGATTTTGTAAAATGACTTCTCAAGCTAACTCTTTTTTTTTAAAGATAATTTTATTGGGGGCTCTTACAGCTCTTATAACAATCCAAACATCAATTTTATCAAGCAGATTTGAACATTTGCTGTCATCATTATTTTCTAAACATTTTTTTTTCTGTTTGAGCCCCTGGTAACTAAATCTTCCACTGTTCTTATTCTCAAATTATCAGTATGAAGTTCCTTTATTTTTTCTTCCTGATAAAATGCCACTTTTATGAAATAATGTGTTGTTTAGAAGTATCAATGTACACATTACAAATGTGTACATCATTTTCTAATAAAATTAAGCTTCAGCAGCATATGTGATGACATATTCTTATAAAATATAATCAAGTTTTTCTTTTGCTTTGTTTTAAACTGAAATTCAGAGACTAAGTTATCAATCACCAATAGCTCCCTTAGAAAATAACCATGTGCTTGTTTTCAGAAGCACATTTAATATTCTAGCTGTTATCCCAAAATAATACTATCATTGTATTTTTCTCTGAAATCATTAAAGGAGAAAAATACATTAAAAAAAGTTAGCCACTAAATTATTTTTAATATTGATCTGAAATCTATAGGTTACAATATGATTTGTCATTATATAGTAAGCATGTGCTTTTGATTTTGCTCAGATTCAGAAGAGGAAATTAAAGCATTAGAGGAAGATTTATTGGCCAATATGCATACATCAAAGGTAAGTTTTCCTTTTCTTTAACCAAGGTTAAAGAACGTATAACCTTTAATTATAGCATGGTACCCTTTTCCTATACTAATAACTTCTCATGGAGACTGAAAAGTGGATTGAGGGGTATTCCCTTTTTCTGAAAACCTTTCCTTACATTCAAAAGGGTTCAGGGTATTATTGTGGTAGAGAAATTTTTTTAAATGATCACTGATCAATTACTATTTTTATTAAAATGAGTAAGTGTTTTTAAAGGAAATTTGTTTCCATCCTTACTATATTATGTATGATGAAAGGTATATTGGTCTTAAGTTAAATACACAAATAAAGCTACCTGACCTTTTTATGTCAGGAAAAATAAAATGGAGTGTTTAAGTTAAAAATGAGAGTTCATATCAACCTAGGAAGGAACTGTAGAGGAAAGACTAATGGCAAATAGGAGCCTAGAGATCCACCTAGAGGTGCAACTGTGACTTAGAAACTATTTGATGTGAAGCACACAGGTGAGTTAATATTGTAAAACCCATGATCTCTGAGACGTTTTATCAAACCATGAAACATTACTGTTTATTATATACCTAAATTTAAAGACTCCCTACAACACAAGTGCTAGCTCTACTTGCTTATTGTTCTATGCTGGACCAAGTCACACTCTGCATTGTGGGCTTTATTACTTTCTTGGTAGGTTTCAAAAGTAAGTTTTCTAGGTCCCAGCATGTATCTAGAAATAAAGCCCATTTAAAATATGCCAGATTACTAGATTACCAGACAGCAGTGATTGATCCAGTGAGAATCAATTAGTGTGTGTTTAAATGTAAGAGAAGGTCACCGGGTCCAAAGATGATACTCAAAGAAAAACAAATTTGAAGTATGTGGTAACCTGGGGTGGTTACTTTTATAGCAAAACTGCTCCAAGACTGAAGATCCCACAGATGTTGTGGTAAGAAGTAAATACACTTGCTGGATTTCTGAAAAAAAATATATTTCAATTCAGTTTCTGTCTACTCTGATTTCTCTTTCTAATTTGATGAATATTTTATGCCTAAAGCAAACCTTTAGTATATATGTCAGATTATGTTTGATTACAGTGAATGTGAGAAAACAAAGACCCCTGTGTGTATTGTGCTTGTGTGCGTTTGTGTGTGTTCATTATTATCTCACTGCAAAAATTGTATACTTTCTACGATGCTCCTTATAGGAGTTTTTTGAAAATAAAGACATACATGCATTTTTCATTATCTAGCTATAAAGAAATTGATCAAATTGACATATAAATTCACCAGATTACATCCAAAGGCTATTGTAATTTAGTATATTTCCTATAATAAATTATCAAAATTAATTTGGTCATTAATACTCAATGGCACAAGTATATAAGCTTATGCTAACACATCCTTTGTCGAACACTAAAATAACTTCAACTAATACATAGACAACAGAAGCAGTGGTCAGAGTTAGATAATCGGTTAGGTTGTAATGCCTTGGTATACATTTTAACCCCAAGTGCACATTGGCACATCTTGAAAAGAGTAGCTGATGGTGAGTCGTGGTTATTTTCCCGTCAAGAGCTGACAAGGAAAAGCGCATCTCATATATGGAGAGGACTAATGATTCTCTTTAAGGAAAAATATAGACATGATAGAATTTTTTCATTTAGACATAGATTATATCTCTAAAATAAATCCTGCAAAAATTAGAATTTCAATGCTTCATTTGAGGAGAAATATGTAAAGTATAGTCTATGACATGTGAGACTCTGGAAGTATAATTATTCTAATTTTCCTGCTAGGATAAGGAAAAAAATACATATTAAAAAAGCTCACATTTTATCTTTCATTTATCTTTGCTCTATTCATTCTGTGTGTGTTTATAGTTTTATATATATAAATTTTGCCTTATTTCCATTTTAACCAAATTGCTGAATTTAAAATTTAAACAAAAACAGTTTTAGATGTTGGTATGAGCAGAAGTCCATTATTAAAAGCTTCAGGTGTTACTTTCTATTTCAATTTTTTTTTGTAATTTAAGTTTTAGATGTTGAAATGAGTGGAAATACATTCAGACAATGTAAGATCAAGAAATATTTAGAAAGCTACAAAGAAATGGCAGATGGGGAAGAAACATTTTTTTATTACAACATTAATCTCTTTCTTGCCAATACTAATACTCATGCTTTAGTATCATTTTATGAAGAGAACCTCTTATAATACATTTTCTTCAGACTCTCAAAGAGTTGGATGGCATATCATATTTATAATCAAATTCAAGGCCTTACATACAGTAGGCGTTCAATAAATGCTCATGAAACCACAATGGAAATTTATGATTCAATGTTAACTTCACATTTTGTATTACAATGTAGTTTTCAGGGATCTAACCCTGGTTAAGAAGCAGTGAATGTCTGCTTAGAGTGGTGGGAATTGGCAGCAGCTAGATGAGACAGTTGCACAGCATGGCTGGATTACTGGGCATCACTGAATTGTACATATGCAAGATATTGAATTAGCAAATGAGGACTTATACATCTTTTTAGATTTATTTCTAACATTATCATTATTTTATAAAATAAATGTCATTTCAATGCAAATAAACCCAAGAAGCGCACGACCCAGTCTTAGGATGAAAAGCGTGCCTTTGCGAATGCCTGCCTCCACTGTTCTGCCTTTCCGTATTTCACTGTGGCACGGCAAAAACGTCGTTCTACGTGACCTCTGGCTAGTAACTCAACCTGGAACCAATTTTATGCCTTATGTGAGTCACATAAATCTTCTGTGAGGTGGGTATAAAAAAAATGCTGTTCACCCCTGCTTTATTGATGAGAAAGCCAAGACTCAGAGATACCAGGAAAGTTGTTTAAGGACACACAGCTTAAAGCAGAACAACACAGAAAGCAAAATTAGATTAGAAACTCGGGCTGTTAGTCTCCATGTTCTGTGCTCTTTCCCCGTGGCAGAGGTGAAGGTGGGACGGGGGTAGAGTGTGTGTGTAGGGTAAGGGTGGTAAAAACCAGAAATTTGAACAGACTGTTATTCAGTATTGGAAATCAAAGGGTGATAAACAAAAATCACAAAGATTCACATTTTCCTCATTTTGAGAACAAAAGGAACACTACAGTAATCTAAATTTCTTATCTAAGATTTTATATCTACTATAAGTGTTTTAATAAAATAGCTTGGTAAGCAAGAATGTTTATGTTGAGTAGAAGCTTCCACCTTGTTCAACATATTTTCAGAGATGAGCTTTCTTGTTTTTTGTGAGGAGCAAGCTCTCAGGTAGGCTGCCTGGGTATGACAAGCGCTACTGAGGCACGACCCACTGTGCTAGAAGAGTTAAGTGACTATTGCAACTGATATTTCAGAAAGAAAGAAAAAAGAACAGAAGGACTCTGATTCTTCTGTGCTAAAAATCAGGTCACACTAGTCCCGATAGAAGCTTTATAGATCAACTTTTCTGTAGTAGATTACTTTGGGGAACATCAGCATAGCATCTCCCACAGCACTGAGGATACACAGGCAACATTTGCATATAAAAGACTCAGAGAATATTTCTAAATTCAAGAAGTCTTTCCTATGTGCTTAATTCCCACTCCCTCGCCCGCAACTCGCTTCACCATGGAACTGGTTTGGTTTTGTTTTACTTAGTGATTGTAGAAAGTGTTCCTGTGAGCACATTTTGATGAACACTGGATTAGATAATCTCGAATTATTGCAATGATAAAAATTGCAGAACCCCATTAATCGGCCCCGCACAAGGGCTGGCCCACGGCTCTGGAGCTCAGGTCCTCTCACACTGCCTCCCACAGCAGAAACAGCACCAACCGGCTGCTCGCCATATGTCTGAATGGATTAGGACAGATTTCTGAATTGGTTGAAAGTTAAACGAGAATATTTTCTAAAGCTTAAGGAATTCCTGATTTTATGAAATACATTTCTCGCCCCTCTCCCCCTTTGGTGGTATCTGCTTTATTCTCCTATTTTTGAGCTTGCTTCGTGTCATGGATTATGTTGGGGTGATCGCAACAAGGTGGAAATCACAGCCCCTCAAATAGAAAGCTGAGGCTTTCTTCTCAGGTAAGATTACAGTCTCTGCCTCAAAGCGACCCCTCAGGAGTGAGGACGATTGCCTCCGCGGGTTTCTGAGACTGGAAATCAAGTCACCTCTGGAAGGCTCATCTTCCCCTCACCCAGCATCACGATGAATTTTCTCAGCAGCAATGAGTTTGCTTTTTTTTCTTGTTTTGTTTAAAATTTTCCCTTTCCTGGAGCAGAGAGTTATACTATAAAGAGAGTTATAATATAATATAAAGAGAGTTATAATATAAAGAATGGGAAGGCTAAAATTCAGAATATTCGTAATACAATTCTTAGTGAAAAATTTTAAATTGAAATTTTGATACTATTTTTCACAGAGAAAGCATTTTCCCTGGGTGTAGAATATTACAGTCATGCACTCCCATGTTGTCGATTCGGACACTTTTAGACCCAAAAGGACAAAGTGGAATTGTTCTGTGGGCTCCAGAGGTTACCCATCTTTATTATATTTTCTTCCATTTAAACTCCAAACTCACTGCCATTGACTTGATTCTGACTGTTAGTGACCCTATAGGACAAGGAGAGCCGCCCTGTAGGGTCTGAGACTGTAAACCTTGCAGGGGTTGCGGGGAGACTGGTTGGGGTCTACGCCTGGGGGCTGGTAGTCTTTACAGAGCAGAAAGCCTCCTGCTGCGTGGTGCGTGCGTTCAGACTGTGGAACTTGCTGTTAGCAGGTCCAAGTGTGATCCACTGTGTCACAACATGTATATTTTAGTCACGTGGACCGTTTCATTGAACTTGGTGTTTTATGTTTTCTTATATTTTCAGAAATCTAGAATTTTTTCTGACTCTGGAACCTATTCAATTCCATTTTTTCCAACTATAAACATTGATTTCCTTTATGCCAGGAGATCCATTGATTTCACACATGTTTTCACAACTTCTTTTCTCTATTTTACTTTGTCAAGATGTTTACCTAAAGTGAAGTAGAGCATATGTTTAAAGTAGGCTGGACTATAATACTTTCTGGAACAGTGGTTTCAAATGTTTCTACATTAAAGACAATGCAGTTTCAAGGAAGAGGGTGCATCTAGGGAAGAATTATTAAAGAACAATGAGGCACAATAGTCTGAAATGTAAAAGAGGATGACTTTGAAGTCTAATTTGTGGATTGAATCTAGGCTATGCAACATATTGCCTCTGTGCTCTTGAGAATTTACTCAGTCTCTTAGTCACGGTTTCTACATATGTAAAATGGAAAGAGTTATCGCTGCTGTTTTAGCTCATTTATTTTATTTTAAAATGAAAACTAAGTAACACAGTGCCCATAAAATAACCCACAGTGTGCCAGGCACACATAAAATAGTCCCATTAACTTTTTTCATCAGTGTTGCTGTAATTCCTTTTGCTATAATAATAAAGACTCTTAAGACAAATTGTGAGGCAAATAAGTCTATTAAAAAGAAACAAAGATTGTGAGATGTGTCCCAAGATTACTCCTTCTGTTATATCTCATGAAGTTGGTCCCATTTCCATTCTGGAAGAACAAAATATTCCAAATATTGTGAAATACACCATCACCACTCCACATTGTGGCCAAGCATCAGAAGGAAATAATGAAAGACTAATTATATTCTCAAGAGCCCTCTTTCCACAGGAGCCCTGGTGGCATAGAGGTGACCCATTGGGATTGCTCACTGCCAAGTCAGTAACTCAAACCACCATCCTCTTTGTGGGAGAATGAAGAGGCTTTCGAATCCGGTAGCGTTCCAGGCTCCGAAATCCCCAGGGGTAATTGTACCTCGCCCTATATGATTGCCATGAATCAGAATTGACCCAATGGCAGTTCGTTTTTCTGTTGGTTTATTTTGGTGTCACAGTGGTTACACACGTGTTCACTATCCAAATGGTCAACAGTTTGAACCCCCCAGTCACTCCTGGGGTGGTAATGGGAGGGATCTATTGATTCGCGCCTGTGAAGTTTATAGGCTTGGTTACTTTATCGGCAAATTCTACTCTGTCCTATAGAGTTGCTATGAGTTAGAATCTACACTAAGACATGCAACAATAACAATCATGTTATAGGAATCCCTGTATGATACAATTAGTATGATTGTATGATAAAATACACATATTTTAACATGTATAGTATCACCTAGTATAGTCTTTTATAAGCGTGTAAATAGGTATACACCCACTGACATTAGGTTGATTCCCATGCATAACCACCTAATATAGGGATTTTGAGAATATAAAGCTTCATACGAGCAAACAGCTTCATCTTTCTCCCCAGAAGCAGCTGGTAGGCTTAAACTCTTGACCTTCCATTTACCAGTCCAATGCTTACTTTACCAGGACACCAAAACCCTCCAAATTCATTTCCGTCGAGTCAATCTGACTCATAGGACATGCTAGGGCTCCTGAAACACACATGAATTGTATAATTAAAACGAGCGGTCAATGTGCTTTACACTGGACATAATTCATATTGTCTCTTTGTTCTTTTCAGAGCTCTTTGTTTAGTGAATCTGTGTTTTGCCTTCTCATGCCAGTTATGCAAGGTTTAATTTTTATTTATTTTTTAATTAATTGGGGTGTGGTAGTCAATATTTTTTTTAAACTCACACTTTGTTAAAGATATTAACATTTTGTAGCAGTTTTTTCTACATAGCTTGCATTTGATTTCATCAGTGGGTTATGCTTCCTTAGAAATATTTTAAACATCTATTTTTTTAAATGATCTTTTTCTTCCAAAATCTGATTTTGATATATACTTAATAATATCTTCCCCAACTTCATGGTTTGTTAAATACATTTCCAAGTTTATTTCTGCATTGGATTGACCCAGGAGCTGCCACAATTAGATCAAGCGTAGGAAAAATTGTGAGGATGGCCAGGACGGGCAGGGTTTCCTTCTGTTACCCGCAGGGTTGCTATGGGTTGGAACTGACTAGCTGGCCCCTAACAAGAAAAATAAGAACAACCATTCTGCATCATTAAATCACATTTAACTGATCAGAATGTTGTTTGATTGTAATATATCAGGATGGGTTATAATTAGATCTGCACCTAGATTTACCCATACCCAAATCTCCCAATGGATTTGAAATGCAAACTTTGTCATATATTATAGCCCCATAGATAACTGGACCGATTTTGGAATTTTTTCTATGGGTTCATATACAGAAGTAAGATGCAGCCATCTGCTTCCATAAACATTTACAGCTTTCGAAGCCCTAAAGGGCAGTTCACCTTGTCCTACAGTCACTACAAGAGAATGGGCTTGATAGTTGTGGTTTCGGGGTCGGGATTAGCTCTGTGATTGCACCCGTTTGATTACTTTGGCAGGGTCATTCACCCCTCAGTATCTTTTAGGTTTTCAAAAGTCATCTTGATTGTCTTTACACATTCATCGTTCCTAATTAACTTTGAAATCACTTTGCTAAATCTCCTGCTCCCTTTTTCAGTTCCCTCATGGCCCCCACGTTGGGATATGGATTTACAGTGCCATTGCATTTGGAAAGTAATTCATAAGGAATTCACACGTGAGGCGATTATTACGTCTTCCCATCACAATCCTTTATTCATTCATATCTGTTTATCTTATTTGAAAAATTTTTGCATTTCCTTCAGAAATATTTGTTTGATCATTATGTATACTCTTCAATTTGCTAACATGTATGGATTATTTCTGGTATGTTTGCAAGTTATTCTTTATGGTAATTATAATTTCAGATCAAATCTTATTAGAAAAGGATGGTCATTCCACAAAATATTATTTTCAAGTAAGTAAAGTGGGCATGTGTGATGATGCCGATGACAAGCAGTTAATTGTGTGGGAGACATTGGTGTCTTCACAGTACTTTCATTGTCCAAATCTGTTAGCATCATCTTTGTGCCTACTTTATCCAACACTAATCTGGAATGCTCTAAGTGGAAAATTGCATTAAAATTTTGAGAATAGTTAGTAGTGCTCTAGTGAATAAAGAAAGCAGCATATTAACACTATTGAACGTTGTGACATGAAAATACTAAATTACTAACACTATATTTATTAGGTTAAGTTAACCAACAAATATGCCTTAAAATGTAAAGCTGTAATGCAATATAATCTTATTTCTTATTTATAGCGTACATACTTTAATGGTATCTATATTTTTTCATATATTTCAGATCAGTAAAGCAAGTGTTCCCTCTTGGAAAATGACTCTGCTAAATGTCTGCACTCTTGTCAATAACCTTAACAGCCGAGTGGAGGAGACAGGGGAGCTTCCGGAGGAGGAGCTCATTACAAGAAGGAAATTTCCCACCGCTCTCGATGGCTTTAGCTTGGAAGCAATGTTGACAATATATCAGCTCCAAAAAATCTGTCACAGCAGGGCTTTTCAACACTGGGAGGTAAAACGAAAACAAATATGAATATAATTTGGCTGTACTGGTTTAGTTCTCATTTGTACTGATTTTTTTATCCTGATAATGAGCACAACAGGAAGACTTGCTGATATTGGAAAAGAATCAACCATGTGTTGAGGTTAGCATTCCCTCAGATCTTCAAAGTGTCCTTCACATATTTGGAATATAGCAAAATGTTTTTCTTCTATCTTAAGAGAAGGATATATTTTAAGGCAGATTTGACCCAGATGCTTTTATTATTCCTAAATGGATAGCATGCTTAGCTTTGGTTGGTGGTGCGTGGCGGTGGTAGTGGCCTGTCTAAGAAATGTCAGGAACTCAAAATGTTTTCTTAGAAATGTGAAGTCATATATGTTCATCTATAAACAGACAAAGATGGAACTAATTCCATTTAAGTGTGAAAATATTAGGAAAATAATTACTTAAATAATAAAGTCGTATATACATACACATATAATGAGTTCATGTGTATACATGTATGTATATATATTTCGAGCACTATTTCTATCGTGTGTGGATTATTTCAGGCATCCTCAGCCACTAATCTTGGGCTGGCCACACAATCAAACCCATGCAAACTATGACAAAAGAGTTGTTAACTCCATTATATTAAATGCTATAGTCATGATTCATTATTTTTGGTTTGAGAAGGTTTGCTTATGTGAATAATTTTAAAATATTGGCATGATAAAATGTAATTTGTACTACTTAATGTACAAAGTCAGTCTTTTAGATCCAGGAGCTTAGTGGAAAGCAATTGACAGCTCTGCCCTGGATTCACACACTCTGGAAGTATAGTGTCAAATCTATAAATAATGAAAGAATTTCAGACCATTAAGTATCTACTGATAAGTATACATAGCCACCAAAGTTATTTTAGCCCATATCTCAATTAAAGTTTCCACTTAGGTGTTTGGAAACAGACCTGAGAAATTATTATCTGAACACAAAATGTAAATCTCACGTATATTATGCTATCCCAAACTAGCTCCAAATCCATTCTCTTTGCCTACTGATGAAAAATAAAGTGTGGCATTCTTAAGGCATACTTCAAATAAGCTTTAACGGTTTTAAAACAAAAATAATTATCTACAAAATTAATTTAACTATTATTTTCTCTGTATTTACAAAATACTTTATAATTTATTGCTCTAGTTGCTACATGTTACTTTAAAAGACATACTAAGGTTTTGGAACAATATATAAAACTATTGAGTTTAAAATTGAAAAAAAAAAAAAAGGGTAGAAAAAATTATTTTATTTTCCCAATCAGGGGATCATTGAAAAGGAAGAAATTGGCGTTAAGTTTCAAATCCTGGACTTTGGAATTTGCCTTCCCTACATTGTAGCAAAATCTGGGTCAAAATAGTACATAGATAACTTATGAAAACAGGAAATAAGAAGAGCAATGTTTAGTGTTATTTAAATTAGCAAACAAAAAAGTTATCAAAATGAAAATCCCCAAAGGTCAATTTTAGTCTCACTTGTTGGAATACTTAACCTTTAATTCTAATTTCAGCTAGATAGTTTAGTGTTTATGATATTCTTTAGATCAGGAAAATTTTAAAATTAAAAATTTGTACATTGAGAAATACCGCGTCTGGGGTCTTAAAAGCTTGAAGGTAAACAAGCGGCCATCTAGCTCAGAAGCAACAAAGCCCACATGGAACAACATATCAACCTGTGTGATCACGGGGTGTCGAATGGATCACTGAAGACAAATGGGTGCATAAGCAAATGTGGTGAAGAAAGCTGATGGTGCCCGGCTATCAAAAAGTATAGCGGCTGGGGTCTTAAAGGCTTGAAGGTAATCAAGCGGCCATCAAGCTCAGAAGCAACAAAGCCCACATGGAAGAAGCACACCAGCCTATCCAACCACGAGGTGTCGAAGGGATCAGGTGTAAGGCATCATCAGAACAAAAAATCTTACCATAGTGAATGATGGGGGGAGTGCGGAGTGGAGATCCAAAGCCCATTAGTAGGCCACTGGAGATCCCCTTGCAGAGGGGTCTAGGGGAGGAGATGAGCCAGTTACGGTGCGATGTAACAATGATGAGAAATACAACCTTCCTCTAGTTCCTAAAAGTTTCCTCCCTGCTCCCACTACCATGACTCGAATTCTATCTTGCAAGACTGGCTAGACCAGAGGAGGTACACTGGTACAGATAGGAACTGAAAATACAGGGAATCCAGGACGGATGAGCCCTATAGGACCAGTGGTGTGAGTGGCAAAACAGGGAGGGTAAAGGGAGAATGGGTAGGGAAGAGGGAACCGATTACATGGAACTGTGTGTGACCTCCTCCCTGGGGGACAGACAACCAGAGGGTGGATGAATGGGGACGTCGGACAGGGCAAGATATGACAAAATACCCCTTTATAAACTATCAAGGGCTCATGCGGGAGGGGGGAGCGGGGAGGGAGGGGAAAAATGAGGACCTAATATCGGGGGTTTAAATGGAGAGAAAATGTTTTGAGAAACGATGTACAAATGCGCTTTACACAATTGATGTGTGTATGGATTGGGATAACAGTTGTATGAGCCCCTAATAAAATGTTAAAAAAAAAAATTTTACCAGGGAACACACACACACACACACACACACAAAAAGAGAAATACCAATCATGTGCTATTTATTCAGAAACAAACAAAATGCTAACTTCATAAGAATTGCAAACAAACCAAATATATGTAAGATTGGAACTTCTGATATCTTAGATGCATTGAGAGATTTAAAAATGAAATGATAATATTATTCAAAGTATAGTACAAGTAATTACAGACTATGCACTGAGAAGATTATGAAATTAGATTTTTCTGACAGTACCTGTTTTCCTTCTCTGAAAATGAATAGCTGTGGGCTGAAATAAAGTGCTTAGTGATGTTATTTAATGCATAAGCATGATAAAATTAACTTATTCAGTCTCTTACTAGTATTACAGTGACCCCAATTTTTTAAGTAACCGCAAATATGACTAAAATTCCTATTTAGCATTCTGTTAAATTTTACGTAAAATTATGCAAACAGTTCTTGAGCAAAATACATATTTTATACCAACTGACAATTTTGAATTATAGCAGTGTTATAAAAAAATGGTATTGATTTTACCTACAGCATATTCGATAACATAGTGGCAAGATTCTGCATTGAGATCAACTTCTTGATTTATTCAATCTGAACTTGTTTTTAATTATTGTAGGAATTGATTAAGTGCTACCACATAAAGAGGTCTTCACTATCTTAACCAAGATATCACATATGCTTGATTTCTACAATTGAGTAGATTGTTTGAATCAGGCATTTCTCTTAAGAATTAGAACAAATCTTTGGAATGGCCTTCAAATCAAGTTAATAAATAACTTAATGAAATAAAGGATCTCACACCAATGTTTATGATCTCATGTACTCCCTTGAACCCATGTTTGAGCTCTGGTGGCATGGTGGTTACTCATTGGGCTGCTAATCACAAGGTCAGTGGTTCAAAAAACCACCCTGGGAGAAAGATAAGACTGCCTACTACTCTAAAGAGCTACCGTCTCAGAAGCCATAGGAGCAGTTCTATCCTATCCAGGGAGGTTGCTCTGAGGCAGGAGTGACTTGATGGTAATGAGTTTGGTGTTGATTTATGTTTTCAGCCATATTTGGTTTGCTAAGTTCAAAACTCTCAAATTGTGGTAACTTATCTTGTTTGTTTCCAAACCATTTTAAATTCGCTGTCATTAATTGAAGTGTGCAAAATACTTCAAGGTCAATTGGGCATGCTTTTTCATTTGGAGAAATAAATGTAATATTTGCGGAATGTAAAAACTTAAAAGGGGTGTAGACTTTGTTGTGGGATTAGGAAGCCCACGGACCATAAACATGCTCATCCTGTCTCAACCCCCGTGAGGCACGCACGCTTTAACAAGGCACTGATGATTCTGAAGGGTTTTCATGTGACCCACCTACATCTTATCTGGATATAAAAAGTAAGGGAATGATTACAGTACTTTGAAACATAAGATTTTATGCATGTAGATTCATCTATTTGTATTTTACCTATTTTGCAGCTAATTCAGGATAATGTTCTTGATACTGGAAATAACAAAAATGAGAAGGAAGAAGTTATAAAGCGAAAAATTCCATACATTCTGAAACGGCAGCTATATGACAATAAACCTAGAAGACCTTACATACTCAAAAGAGCTTCTTACTACTACTGACAGGAATGACTTTTCTGTACTTGTGATTGTGATTTGTGATGCTTTACTTAAATACGGATGATGTTTCTGTGAAAATGTGAAAAGAACACAGTTACTTTGTCTCTTGTGTAATTGCAGTTTGTTGGATGTGATTTTTCAGCATTAATATGAATTAGGTTAAATGCTTACAAATAAATCTAGACCTTGAGCATGACATGTTGTATATTCTTGGCGTATATATTGATTAACTCACATACAGTATGTTTTGCTATTTTGAAAAACACTTTAAATGATTGACATTTTTGCCAAATAATGTTATAAGCAAGTAACATAACAGTCTAGCTTACATATTATTAACCAACAGCAAAGTAGCATCAAAACCAAACTCATCGTCAGTGAGTCGCTGCTGACTCACAGTGACCCGAAAGGCAGGGTAGAATTGCCCCTGTGGGTTCCTTGGCTGAAGGAGAACATCTGGTCTTGCTCCATGGAGCAGGTGGTGGTTTCAAACCGCTGACCTAGTGGATCACAGCCCAGTGCGTATCCACTCTGCCACCACTGCTCCTTCTCATTATCTGTCTGACTGTCTTACTAAATTGAGAACACATACTCTCGTTTCCAAAATGGATTCATTATGACTCTTTGAGATATAGGAATGGTAATAAGAAGGATTGTTCATTAGACTGATGTTAAGGAATGATCCTCAGCTAAAGTTGCTTTTTTTTGAATAAACATAATAGCTAACTAAAAGGCAGAAAGAGAACAGAAATGCATCTTACCCAAGACTTCTATTTGAAAAGTTACTTAAAAAAAATTATTTTATTGGGTGCTCGTACAATTCTCTTCGCAATCCATACATACATTGATTGTGTCAAGCACACATGCACATTCGTTGCCCTCATCATTCTCAAAACATTTGCCTCCCACTCTATCCCCTAATATCAGTTGCTTATTTCCCCCCTCCCTCATAAACCCCTCATACTTCATAAATTATTATAGTTTTGTCGTAAGTTATCCTGTCCGATGTTTCCCTCCGCCCTCTTCTCTGCTGTCCATTCCCCAGGGAGGAGGCAATATTTAGATTCTTGTAATTGGTTCCCCCTTCCTACC